TGCTACTACTGCTACTACTGCTACTACTGCTACTACTGCTACTACTGCTACTACTGCTACTACTGCTACTACTGCTACTACTGCTACTACTGCTACTACTGCTACTACTGCTACTACTGCTACTACTATTTCCAAGTGTGTTTGACAGGTATTTTCATGTGTGGACTGGTTGCCCTGTTGAGCGACAGCTGGGGTTTTGAGTACCAAACTTCTCCCTTTTGACTCCTTATCCAATGTTGACTTTTCGCTACCTGGTCAGAGAATCGAATCCTAATATCGACAACCGGCACCGATAGCTAGCACCTACCCACCACTCCTTCCTTTCCTTTTGACATGCAAACTTTGACACCTCTGGCAGAAATTTTTTTTTTCCTTCTTTTTCTTTTTCTTTCTTCTTCAAGTCCCACGCCCACTTTGTGTTGTAAGTCCGCCGAACGAATCTCTTTTCTTCTCGATTCTCTCCTTCAGCAAGATTGAAAGGCGGTTCAGTTGCTAATTGGATTCTACCTATGTAGTACAATCAAATTTCCAAAATGCCTGTATGTACATACATCTGCCGCACCCGTCTTTCAAAAGATCCAGCTAACATCATCTGATGTCCAGGCGAACAATAACAACGTACGTTCACTGGCGATCGAACGAATGTCTATCTTGTATCAGACAATGAATGGTGAGCGCTGATATTGTGTCTCAGGTTGGCAAAAAGTCGCAAGCCCTCCGGGGCGGGAAGGTGAGTCTCATGTCCTCGCCTTCATTTGTTGCAATGTTGCCGACCTACTGTTTCAGAGGGGCAATCAAAACGCACGAGATGGACCTTTCCAGAAATGAGAACGACCTACTAACTATTGAGTCAGCCCGCGCCAGCCCAGCCACCGGCAAAGGTATGTATTATTTCCGTAAGAAAATGTTTTGTGTATTGACTGGTGTATGATCTGGTAGAAAGCCAAAATGCCGCCGGTAAGCTTCCTAGATAGGGATTGTGTATTCTACTTAGCCTCACTAACATACTCATTGCAGAAGAGATCCCGGGAGGTGAGTTGTGTCCTTTGGGAGAGTAAGGATGCCTTCACTAATGACTATTTCATTCAAAATACAGGAAGCCCAGCAGAAGCTGGAGGTACGATCCTTTTCCCGTCTTTCTCTTTTGACAATGAAATGAATAACAACTGTTGACGCTCTCTCTAGCACTTACGCCAAGATTTGCGCGTGAGTTTGAATCAATTGTTATCGGCCTTTTGGGATGGAAACAAAGCTAACAAGACAACTGCACTACAGGATGTCATCAGGAAGGAGTTGGTAAGTCTGGCATTCTTAGTTTCACTGTGCCATCAGACAGTCTAACGCATATGCTTTTTACAGGCCATCGCCAAGCAGAAGCAAGTAAGTACAGCAGAGATCGTTTTGTCGAGCCATGCTTATGTCATACTACTGTCCCTAGTCCGTACTTGATCGAATCAAGGTATGTCTATTGATGTACGGATTCCAATGTTCCGGAATTTGCTAAACTGAAACACGTTGAAGCACTGGAAGAAAGAGCTCGGTGTAAGTAATAATTAGACATGTTTCACAATTCGTACTGACAGTCGATAGGCTCGCCCCGAGGACAAGGTTCGAATTTATTTATCTTCTCTCTGTGACTGGCCAATACTAATTTAATGTGTCGAAAACCTCACAGGATGCCGATGCCCTCGCCGATGTACGCACCAGTCATATAGCGTTAAAAGAAAGAAAGATGACTAACTAGTATACAGGCCTTGTTTGACAAAATAGTGAAGGGGGAGCAAGAGGAATTGGCTGCTATAGGGGATTACAATAAAGAAGGTGTCCAAAGTTTTGTCCAGGCAGTACAAGACGATGAGTAAATAACGATGATAAGTACAGCCAAATGTCTCAGTACTCAAGACTGATAATACGGCAAACAGTCTTGGGGCCCCAATGATTTAATTCAAACCTAAGGATGTTTTCATTCGTCTTTGTGTATCTACCTGTAGCAATCAGCCGGCAAAGCGGTATGCATTCTCTTATGGGGTTGGCGATCTCCAAACTCTTATTGGGTTTCATTGTGACGATACAATGAGAATAGACGGATACCATATTAAATAACTAACTAGTTATAGATGAAGATTGAGTGTTTATTTTTCCAAAATATCTACTATTATTACCGCTGAGTTCAGCTCGGGCGTGCGTTTCATTCAAACGACTTTAATGACCAGAGTCTGCAATACTAAAAGCCATACTTTACTTACGCAGAATCGAAGACGGAAGTTTCCTTGAAGTTTACAAAGTTCTCTGTTTTGTATAATTCTCACTCATAGTTTATACATTGAGATATTTAAACGGCAGGAATACTGATGCTTTAGTTCAAGCCGCTGATTAATGCGATATATCATCTGAAAATCTTCATACAATCTCATCGAACTCGCAGGCTTGTCTTTTGTCCTTGATCTGTTTATATTAAATTCTGCTCTTTCAACTATCGTTGTTCCGTGTATCTAATTTATACATCTAAGACAATATTCTTCACTATAGCGCAGGCCCCAAACGATCAGGAAGACTCGGATCAGCGCCAGCGTCGAGTAACGTTTTAATAACTTCCTTGCGCAACAGTTTTACGGCCAAATATAACGGTGTACGGCCATTAGGGTTAAAGGCGTTAATGTTGGCTTCATGTGTGAGAAGCCATTTCGTTATCGCTACGTGACCATTGTTTGCTGCCCAATGGAGTGGTTGTGCGCCCCATCTGTCTGTCGCTTGTGGATTGATTCCACGTAAGAGTAGAGATTCCACAGTCTCCGTATCCCCTTTGTATGCAGCCAAGAGGAAGATATCCTGTTCATCTGGAAAATTCGGGTAGAGTGCTGTGCTTCTCTTCATGAAAGCTTTCACCGCTTCACTTTTACCTTCATACACTGCAGCCCAAAGAGCTGTGTGGCCGGTCTTTGGAGTCTTTTGCATCTAAATCCACGCCCTTGTCCAATAGATGAACGGTGTTTCTGCTAGTGGCGCTGCGTCAGATGTGGACTCTGAACCGACAGAGATTAGAACTGGCTTAAAAAGCGAAAGAGATAGCAAATCATATACAAGCCCCCCAAAAAGAGAGAAAAAACAAGAAGAAAAGAAAACCATTCGTTAACTCAAATGGAGAAAAAAATTAAATTCCAATGGAAATAGTAACTCGACGGAGACAGGATTCGAACCTGCGAGGCCGAAACCATATGATTTCTAGTCATACCCATTAACCACTCTGGCACTCCGCCTTCAGAGCTGATGCTAAGAAAGGAGCAGTAAACAGGTATCTAAGCCTTGACCGCCCCTCAGCGAATTCTCTAGAGAGTATTTGTTGCACTTTTCGTGATGTGAGCAAACATATATAATCTCGGGAGACGGTGCGCAGCGATAGAACCGTCGGTGTGAAATGTGAAGTAGCCGAAGAGTGCAAGGTTTTCGAAAAGGCCTACCAGCTTGTATCACTCCACTTCAGACATGCATTGCTCCCTTTTGCAGTATTTACTTGACCTAGCTTCTCAAAAACAATCCCTCATCAGTTTTTGTCGCGATGGGTTGAGAGAAGTAAAAATGTCTAATTTATCGTTACGTATTGTTACTGAAAGAGTGGCCGAGCGGAACGCCTTAGGCTACCTAACAGCATAAAGGTATTATCATCTTATGGGAAGATCTACAGGCCTACTACAATCAAGCTGTTATTCGTGGATGAGATATCTATCCTTACAAAATAACCATTGTAAGCCTTTCCCATGACATATTCAGTACTGCTCTAAAACCGTTCTCTCATTCAATCCTCAAAGTTGAGTTTAGCCCTGACTGTTAACTCTCTCATCATTAAGTACTCTTCGCTAAACCAGTACAAGAGGGACAAGTGAGATTGACACACAAAAAAAAAAAACAATTTAGATATCAGCTACTCAGATGTTCAAAACTAGGCGTCAATTCAAAGCATCGCAACTACATACATGTATTCTATACAAAATATACAGATCAAGTTCCCACCCTCAGGTATAGCCCTAGTAATTTCCAGGATAAAAACCTCTATTGTCTTGCCTCACTATAATCCCTTGGCCAATTTCACCCGATCAGCTCTTAGTTGGTGCCAGAGCAAGCGACGAATTTGTTCCCCTTGGCTCCGTTGTGGGTAATAAGACCAGCGACCTGGCAAGAGCTGGTGATTACAACGCGGTCAGCGCCAGGAGCGCCTACATATCATGTCTCGTTAGTCAAACAAAGTAATCGTACCATAGCTCTATGAAAGAAAGAATGACAGAAATAGATGGGTTGTTAAGTTTGTATACAAACGTACCTCCACTGTAGAGAGCGCCCGTGTTAATGATGGGAAACTCTTGGTAGGGTCCCTTGACTCCATTGAACTTGAACTTCTCGCCGTTGTTGAAGGTGTGAGGATATTTGTTCGTTCCGATGGTCTGCTTGGCTTTAAACAGAGTGCAAGCCTTTTGGGCGGCGGCGGCGACTTGAACATCGCCGTAGAAGGACGCCTGTTTGACACCACAGCCTCCGGAGAATCTCTCTACGAGATCGTTGGGGGATCCGGAAGTGGGAGCGGCGCTGGCAAATGCAACGAGTGCGAGGAGGCTGAGGAACTTCATTTTGAATGCTGAAAAGGATCGAACTAAGTGTTAGGAACGAGTGAGGACTTTGTAGGATGGAAGTTGGATGCTCAAACGATTGACTGATGATGATACGAAAGAAAGACGACTAAAGCTGGGGATACGTTCAGCCTTTATACAGATGTGTCGTGATACAGCTCTCCATGTATGCAGCGTCTCACAAATAAATCCCAGCAACCGACTATCCACTACACCACCGCGATCACAGGTTTAGTACCGCAAACATATCCCAGCGCCCGTACTTTTTACCGCAATGACTTTACGGCGTTTCATTTCACGTCGACTAAATGCTCACAACAATATGACTTGCCCTATTCACCTCTCACTCTCCACCAGAGACTGGAATACATGAGACTTGTCCGAATCAACGCCTTGACATCCCCTGGGGTGCCAAGGCGATGATCTCTCATGGCAGTCTCACAACCCACGAATACCATCCGAGAAGAAAACAACCTGGTGCCTGCATAGAGCAATAGAAAGGTGCTGACATTCCATGGCTCACACGCCCTTCAAAATGGTAAGATCTTGCGCAACTAGGAAGGTAGAAACAGATACACAAGCATCCAAAGGGGCTTCCCCAGAGTGCAGCACGAATCGGCAGCCTCGGAGTTCTCCTAAGCTGAAATCGATTGCGCCCGCAATAATGTAGGTTGTAAAAGAATACGGGGATCCCTATAGCCAAGCCCAAGCGTCAGAGTATGAAGCTTCCCGATTCGGGATATCGTGCTGCGCCTCGGAATGAAGATCATTTATATTTTAAGCAAGTCTTGGCTCTGTGCTTAGTGCCGATCCAAATGACAGACAATTTCCGGATCAGCTCACAACTAATCGATTTTTCCATCGTGGTTTTGTTGGAATTGATGAGTTAGATAGAAGATACTCTCTACTATTAAGAATTACAGATGTCAAATAGCAAATTGAAACCACTCTCATACAGAAACCCCCCTGGATACCAACACATTGTCAAAGCTGCCAAACAAATAAGCTTATCCGGATGCTCCCGCACTGGCCTAGACACACACCTGATACAGCGCATTCATAATTAAAACACACACCTACCGAATTCGAGAAGATGCTTATTCCATGCGCAAAGCTGACGATGCCTATTGCGGAAACGCACGTTGTAATCATGAATAGGCGTTGCATTGACGATGATCGGAAGTTGCCCGACGAAATGCAGCAACATGGCCATGGACACCAAACGCTTTCTTACAAAGGGAGAAGTTATTCAGCACCTCGTTGTCGTTATCCTACACCCCAGCTATAGCGCAACAAAGCAGCCAGTCCACATATCGAAATACACATACACGGCTGCCGAATATAGTTAAAAAATAGCAGCAGTAGCAGCAGTAGCATCACAACGTTACCAGTAACAAAAAGAAAGCAAATAAAGCCACAAGAAAGTACAAATGAAACATACCACAGTAAACTGTCATTTATGAAAAGAAGAGATCGGTGGTACTAGACCTGTATAAAAGTGCAAAAAAGAAAGGGGCCAAACCGTGGATTGAACACGGGACCTCTTGCAGTTGAGTTGGAAGCCCAAAGCAAGAATCATACCACTAGACCATTTGGCCGCTAGTTCTCATGACTAATGATGGCTTAGACCGTCTTATAAATGCATTGCTGGCTCTTCGCATAGGAAATCAGTATGTATCCACCAACATTCTAACCCCACAATAACACCGCGGCACTAAAAAAAAACAGACTCCATCCACTAATATGATTATTCCAAAGTAAACCAGCAGGAAAAAAAGCAAAAAAAGAAAGAACACGTGGAGACAGAGGGATTTGAACCCCCGACCTTTTACAGGCTTGTATTGAATGAACAATGCAAAGCAAACGTGATACCCCTACACCATATCCCCGATGTTGAAAATCCGGGTTTGTAAACAAACTTATACAGCCCGACAACAAAATGAATGCAACTGCACAATTCTCACCTGTCTCATTCTACTCCATTGGATTAAGGGTATCATGCTGCAATGCCTCTTATTTCATTTTTACATTGGCTAACATGTCCCTGGTGTTGCACTGGAGTTATCTGCCAAGAATCACAGTCCGCCAATCCTATTACACGAAATAACAGCCATGAAAGTTCCCCAGAAAAAGGCAAGACAAAAGGGAGGCTTTAGACTTTCCGCCTGCGCCAACACGTGGAAATGACGTTCAGCCATCAACAAGGTTCCCCGGATAATGAAATGGAATTGTTTATTCCTCTATGCGCTAAAACCGCCACTTATTAACTATCAATATCCATTCCTCCTCAAATGTATTATAAAAGACAGGCTCTCTAATTTGTATGTACTCATATACTATATATATATAACATCTCTCTTCAAATCATACCATTAAATATTCAAAATCAAATCAAATCATCAAAACGCCATCAGCATGTAGCCAAAAGCAGCCCCTGTCAGGAGCAAGCTGCCGCTCAAGGCTTTAGCCCCGGATGGCGCCGCAGACTTTCCATCCTTGTTTCCATCCTTGGAGGAGTTGTTGGTATCGCTGGATGGGTCGTTGACGGGATTGGCCTTTGGCGAAGACGAGGGGGTTTGCTTGTCCGCGCTGGGCGTTGTTGATGATGGGGATTTACCGCCGGTGCTGGATGGGCCTGGGGTAGGCGTTGAAGTGCCCGTCTCTGCGGCCGTTGAGACTGAAGTGGGCGTGGGTGCGTATTTGGAGTCCATGGTGAACTGGTCGAGGATGCACTGCTCCATCAGCTTGTTGTCGGTGTAGTTGCCGGGCTCACCAGAGGGTGTGAGTGACAGGATGTAGTTGGTGTCAAAGCTTCCGGCGCCCCATCCGACGAAGCCGATGTAGACGTCGCTATTAGCACTGATGGCCTTGTTCTGGGCACAGAAATCGGTCATACACTATTCACACAATGTTAGTCCCAATTCAACATCTCTCACTCAGTACATGAACAGATAAATGAAGAGGGTCACTCACCGAAGGATCCATGGAAGCACCAGTCTCCGAAATAATGGCCTGGCGCTTGTTGTCCCTCAGCCAAGTCGCGAAATCCTCAAAGGCCTGAACGTTGTCGGTGGTGCATTCCACGTGGGATCCCGAGTTGTTGATGTCGAGATACTTGTGCACGTCAAAGTACAACAAATCGGTGCTTTTGTCGGGGTTTGTAATGGCACCAAGGGCAGCGGCGCTTCCGCTGTCCACGTACGACCCGACACTGGCAAAGTTGGTTGCAGGCAGCAGAATCATCTGCGAGGTGGCGCCGGCCTTGCGGATAGCGGTGACGACCTTTTGGCAGGTCTGGGCCCAGATGTTGACGTCCAGATCGTGAGGCTCATTCATCAGGCCAAAGATGATCTTGTCGTTCTTCTCGTAGTACTTGGCAATCTGGACCCACAGGTTGACAAAGACTTCGTCCTCGACGCCTCCCTGGCCAATGATTCCACCATTGTATCGGGCAAAGTTGTGCATGTCAATCATACACCAGGCGCCGGTGACGAGACAGGCGTCAATGACCTTGTTGTAGGATCCCCAGTTGAGCTCGTCCAGCTTGCCGTCCACGGTGTTGTTGGTGACGAATTGCCATGTGGCGGCTAACAGCAATCCACATTAGTATGAGACATGATATGACATGGTATTATGGGTTGATAATTGAAAGTGAGACATGAGACACTCACAAATGCGAAAGACGTTGAGGCCGTCATCCTCGGCAAAGTGCTTCATCTGACCCGCGCCATCACCGCCCTTGTAGTCCAGCAGCGGAACGGACGAAGTATCGGTCGGGCAGCTGCCGTCAATGTCGCACCCAAAGTCGATTCCCGGGATGGCGACGCCCAGATACCGGATCTTGCCGGCGAGGGCGCCAGAGGCAAGGGCCAAAGCGGCCGCAAAAGCAGACGTTGGACGCATAGCGAAGTCGTATATGTTGTGATTAGAGGAGTATGACTTTTAAGTACTTATATCCCTTTCTTTTACGTTTCCTTGTTTCCTTGTTCCTTCTTCTCTATTTTTGCAACTGGTGTATGTCGCACAAGCTCCGGCTGAGGCTTGAATTAACGAGATGGCGTATGCGTATTAGCGAAGGGAAAATGGCAATGCCAAACGGGATCGTGAAAGCAACCCAACAAACAGCAAATTGCTATGCAGGAACAGGGAAAAAAAAGACAGCAGAGCAAGCAGAACCGACGACAGCCAAAATAACAAGAATAACGAATGAGTTACAGCTGCGTCATGGTTTTGCCGGGGGCGAGCGAGTGAGCGATGGGGAAAAGCGATTGTTCCACGAAAGAAGAGGTGAGAAGAAGAAGAAGCTGAGAAAAAGACAGGAGAGCGAGATGCGCCAGAACTCCATCCACCACACGACTGACAGCCGCCTTTCTGGGGCTGTGAAGAGCAAAAACGCCGGCTCTAGCGCCTCCCCGGCCACTGAAGGATGCCGCTCTAGCGAAGCCCAATTGCCTGTCACGGCTCGTATGGGCCCAGTTCGGGCATAGCGGGCTGCGATCTTCGTATTCTGGACGGTCAGACTATGGCTCCAATGCGCTGGTGCTCGTATTCAATGTTTATTCGTCGCAGTCTTTTGTTTACTGTCACGCCATGCTATCTGAAAAATACACTTTCATCGCTGCAGCATGCAGGGCGCAGAGCAGATTTTGCTTTGACACACGCCACCAACCGAGTCAACGTCCAAAGAGGAAAAAGAAGAAAATTCACAGTGACATTCAATGATTGGAAATTCAACTCTAGCGCTGCAACGCCGCTGTGACAAAAAGAGAAAAAACGACGCAGGGTCTAGCTACGGGCCTTATAGCGGAGCCGCTACGGGTACCTGTTGAAGGCCCAAATGGGTTCTGGACGGTGCTCCTTACTCGTACAGGCACGAATGTGGAAGCAGAATTTGCTTAGGTAGGTGGGCTTTCTTTTTTTACCGGCCAATGCGTATTATGACAGATACGAGGGACGAAACGCCCAAGGTGCTTACGCGTGCCTGGGCTCGGATTATGGCTTGCCGTGGATAAGACGGCAAGTTGCGGTGCACGTATTACTCGGTACGTACTTGTGTCGTTGCATGCTCACCGAACACAATGGCGAGAGACAGTGATTTGTCTACAAGTAATTGACGACAGCCTGAATCGAGTTACTACGTGTAGATAAACGATTCAGAGGGGAAATGAGCAGATCGCGAGCAAAAGGCGGAGGATCCGCGCACTAACAGCCGGGGTCTCATTACGGAGCACGCGACAGGGTTCACCCCGTATCAAGGCGTGCTCCAGCATCTATTTATAATTTATTCTGCAGCAAATGCTGCTGATAGAACCATTCAACGGCTTTAATCTGTTTGTAAAGCATCAATCATCAAACTTGACAAGCTCGGTGTAAACAGCCCGCTGCAGATCCGTATACAGCCGCGACGACACCGGATCGCCAAACGGAAACATGCCCACCATCAGCAAAGCCGCGATGCCCGACTCCGGATCAATCCACTAAACACCATGCGTCAGAAACAAAAGATACCTCAGTATCAGAAGAGAAACGGTAAAGAGTCAAAGGTAAACTCACCCATCGCGAACTGCATGCTCCGCTCCACGACAGACTGCCCCTCCTCCTCAGCCCAGCAACATCCTCCATCGTCACCATCCCGCCATATCCATACTGCAGCGCCACGCCATCCGGCATCTCAGGGATATACGCCTCTCTGCGTCCCTCGCCATAGAAAACATCCCCCATCATCACCCTCTGCCGCTCATCCAGCTGCGGCGCAAACATCATCCGCGCCGTCTCTGCCGAAACCACGCCCGGCTCAACCTGCAGCATCGCGCGCAACAGCCGCACGTAGTCGTTGGCCGTGGTGTGGATGCCCGCGCCGGCGCTGTCCATCTCGGGCTCCTCCGGGACAATGTCAAAGGCCGAGAGAGAGCCGCTGGTGGCGTCGCGGATGGCCACTTGGGCTCGTCGACCTGCGGTGTGAGGCAGCTGCTTGACGCGGAATCCCGTATCGCGCATCTGCAGAGGATTCAGGACGTGCTCCTTCATGTATGAGCCGAGACTCTGCTTCTCCAGCGTCTCTAGGCCCACACCTGCCCAGTCCAGAGCAGAGCCGTAGGCCCAGCCGTCGCCGGGAGGGAACACGAGCGGCGTGTTGTAACCGTCTCTGGAGAGGCGAAGCACAGGTCCAACGGGACGGCCAACGGCTTCGGACCATCTTCGCAGGTCGGGGTCTGCCACATCGTAGTGGAGACCGACGGTGTGAACCATCAACTGCCTGTATCAATATCAATATCTGTGCCGCGCCATGTTACGGATGACATCAACCAGAATCTCCGTACTTGAGTGTAATCGGCCTCTCATTGTCCTCCAGCACAGGCTGCCCCTCGGCAGTGAATCCCCGCAAGATCTGCATCTCGTCAAGCTCGGGAACAAGCCGCCGCATATTATGGTCCAGTGAGATCTTATCCTGCTCAACCAGCTGCATGAGACAGGTCGCAGAGAGGAGCTTGGTGATGGAAGCGCCGTAGGTGAGGGTGTCGACATTGAAGTTGGGCGAGTTGACGTCGATGCCCGCTCGCCCAGCAGAGCCAGAGTAGATGATGCCTGTGAAATCCATAAGCAAAAAAGTGACGATGAGAGTTTGATAAATGACATAAGAAGCTAGCTGCTCACCATTTCGATCCGTGACTATAAATGCAGCTCCAAGCAGCTTGTCCTTGGTATCCTCCCCATCGGCAACAGCCGCCTTCAAAATGGCGTCCAACTTGTCCATGGCTGCGAATGCAACTCCTCTATGCCACGGATATCGGCCAATGGCTTGTTGAGAATATTACTGACAGTCAAGGATTTGACCAGTGCAACATTAGTGTGGCTTGTTCCTCGTTAGGTAAGTTTAAGATCAATGGTGGCTGCTTGTGCCGTGAAACAGAAGAGCTAAAGTAATCGAGATGCAGATCTCGAGTGCATGTGGTGCAGTGGCCCCTCCTCGTGATGTCAAAGGCTGGCAAAGTGCGGCCGCCAACAAACAAAAACATTAAATACCTACATGTTATTCAGGCGATGAAACATTAGCGTTGTTGCACTCACTTAATAATTGATACCATTTATACAGTATGCCCTGATTTATAACAATGAATTGAACCATTGATCTTCCAGAAATGGCCTTTCGACAGATCCATCCATCCACGCTAAGAGCGGGACCCATATCCCGCCAACCAGTCAAAGACGGTGCCTGTTGCGGCTCTTCCATCCCATCACTTCACCCAGTCTACTCTGCTGTGAGACAGACATCCGCCCACGCTGCTCCATCTCAACTCATCCCTTAGAACTTCAGTTATTTCTCAACAATTTTGAAAGATATATCAAACACTAACTCATTTACACTCAATTGCCCAGTCTCGACGCCATGCCTGCCCGCACATCATCCGGGCTGCTAGACCTCATCACAGTCTTTGACAAGTAAGTCCATCGCCATCGCAACTACACTCATACTCACACACTGCTCCAGCGCACCTCTCGACTTCGAGCTCAACCATGACCCCTACTACACCCTCATCCTAGCCCCAGACAACCGAGTCCACGGCTACATCCACCCAAACACAATCGCCTGCATGCCCTGGCCAGCATCCTTCTCCATCAACCACACCACCCGCCAAGTCACCCTCTCCCCTCCTCCATCCAACATCTCCCCCTCTATTCACGCCAACACCGCCTTCCAACAAGCCGTAGACGCTGCCATCGACGGCAGCATCTTCCCCACGCTCAACGGCCTCCACAGCGAATACTTCCTCGTCCCCGGAGCCCGGCACTTCGTCCAGATCGAGCGCTTCGCCGCCACCCTCTTCGGCATCGCCACCCGCGGCGCCCACCTCACAGCCTACACAGTCACCGCCGACGGCGAGCTGCGCATCTGGGTCGCCAGGCGAAGCAAGACACTTCACACCTACCCGGGCATGCTGGACAGCACCGTCGCCGGCGGCGTCAAAGCCAGCGACTCCCCGCTCGACTGCATCCTCGCCGAGTCCATGGAAGAAGCCTCGCTGCCGCAATCCCTCGTTGCGCCTCGCGTGCGCGCCACAGGGGTCCTTACAATGTTGAACCGCAATCCACGAACAGAGCTAGTCCACTCGGAGATTCTGTATACCTACGACTTGGAACTCTCTGGTCAAGGGGATGAAGTGCCGCGCCTAGGCGATGACGGAGAGGTCGAGGAGTTTGTGCTGATGAGCTGCGAGGAAGTTGAAAAGCGAATGCGGGCAGGCGAGTTCAAGACGAATGTCTGCGCAGTCATCATTGACTTTTTGATTCGCCATGGGAAGATCACGCCTGAGAACGAGCCGGACTATGTGGAGATTTGCATGAGGCTGCAGAGGAGGCTGCCCGTGCCTACGAGGGCGGATGTGTAAAGAAAGGTTGTCTGATAGAGCATCATGTACATGTATATAGAATAAATGAAGACCAATAGATCAAATACACAGACACCACATCAAATTAAATCTCACCACAGACATATTTACTCATCAAACCCCATAATTCCCCCAATCTTCTATCCATGATTACATATTCATATTGCACAACTGTTTGCCCGATTCCTGCAACCCGCCGTGACGTACAAGGCCACTAACACGCCACCCACACCGATAGCCGCCACGGCTTAACCCGCACCACCAACTTTCTCCCAAAACTCTCTATCTTATCCTTATCGCTACTACACATCAGCTTTTTTTTTCCCCCATCAACCTCTCTGTCTATTACTACATCAACTATTTCTCTTCCTCCTTTTTCTTTGTTATACTTCCTTCTAATATCCTTTTCTCCAGCCCATTTTCTCTTCTCCACTCTCATCCCTCTCCAGTCGACCCCAAAAACGAAAATTCCTCACTTACCCTCGCCTCGTCATCTACCTTATACAATCATCACAAAACGTCCATCCATCAGCCGCAAAAGAAAAAGGCCTTCATCTCCAAAATCCCACGCCATCACCGCCTTTAAATTCTTCCAACATACCTATCTACCCTATATAAACTTCAAAACCCCTCTCCTTTTTCTCTCTTTCTAGCTTCTCATCGCTCCTCATCTACGCAAACGCACACCAGCAAACAACCTCAACCCACCACAAAACTAACAACTCAAACAAGGTATGCTTTTTCCCCTTGGCTTCAAATCCTATCCGTGCCATCGGGTGAAAATAGACAAACAACTTCCTCCCTCAATCTCTTCCCTTCCTTCTTTCCTCGCAAACATTCTTCCCTTTCATACATCTCCTCTTCAATTTTTCTTCGATTTTTCCCTTCAAAGTATTAAGAAGAATCTGGGAGTAAATCATCCATCCGCCATCCTCTCTCCGTTCCTTTTCTCAACCGCAAACCTTCACATCCTATACAAACCAACTAACATGCCATTCCAACAGCTCCATAACCGCAACCCCCTCCGTCTACGCCGTTATATCACCACAATATCGAAACGAACACTCCCATCCTCGATCATCAAACACGACAATTCGATCCTCTCGCAGCAACGCACTGTCAAGACCCAGATAACAAACACAAACGGCACCTTCTCGTCAACCAACGCCTTCAGCAACAGCCATTCATTCACAACTTCACAGCGGGCAGCACACGCAAACAAAATCTCGTGTCAAGCGTCATGGTCATATTATACAATTCATCCTACACTACATACAATTCGTCGCGCCCTCCACCACGGGCCATCCTTCCCATCCATAAAAACCGCCCCGTTCTCTCGCATTCTCAAGGAGTATCAAGCAGCAGAAAGAAGCAAATTAAAGAAATTGCAATGGCGCAGCGCAATTCCAGCGAGAAAAAAAAACCCTTAATCATTCGTTACCAGCCAAACTCCCCAGCGCCTCTTTTAGTCCTACCAATACTTTTTTTCTTTTCAACCGCCTTTTTTGGACTCTTCATCCATGTCCCCCCGAATACCATTTCAGTACGGCCACCAGACCAGGCCTGACCACGTCGATCACCCGCCGCTATGAAAGCAGGCGGGTCAGAGAATTAGTTGGCCGAAAAGCACATATATATCCCATCTAGCTTGCAACCGCCATTGCAGGTTGCGACCTTCAGTACCCAAACGAGCATGTAACCAGCGCAGCTCTTTTATCCTCTTACAAACAGAGACAAATACGCCTCCACAGCGAATCTATTTAGAGAGCGAGCACAAAGAAAAGTTGCGTAAACTTTTCCTTTACTCTTCTTCCGAGTCAGAGTCATCGCTCGAATCGTTATGGTGGTCATGCGCCATCGCAGCAGTTGCGTCATCAACAGGCTCTTGGCCGTTTTTGTACATTTGCGAAATCGCTGTCAACTGTGCGATGCGCGCCTCCTGCTCCTGCGCGCTCATGGGCTTGTTTTTCTTGGGCTTCGAAGCCGATTTAGGAGCCTGCTTTGCGGGGACCGCCCTATTAACTTCGGGCGACTTTGCTGTGGCGTTTGAACTTTTACCGAATCCTGGGAGCGCCTTCTTGCAGAGCTCCCATAGCTTGATCAGCGCTTCGTTACTGAGCTGGTCAATGTCTAGCTCGAGCTCGCCTTCGTTGTTTTCCTGTCAAGGCCAAACGTTAGCACATTCTTCTTTGTACCAGAAAGGGGGAAAGTGGGCACTTACGTTTTGACCGGTATCACGCTTAATTATGTCAATGGCTTGGTCGAGGTTGGGGTATTCAAGATCGTTGATGGCGCTCGCGATTTGGTCCTTGTCTGCTGCCGACAGGCTCTTTTTGGGAGCCGGTTTCTTCGCAACGCCCGACTTCTTGGGAGGGGGTGCGTGGCTAGACGACTTACGCGCAGGGGCGCTGCCTGCCGCCTTGCTTTTGCTTGGCTTGCTGGACTTCTTGACCGACTTGTCTTGGTGCTTGGCCTTGCCCTCGCCGCCCTGGTTCTGCGCCGCCTTGTAAAGCGCCTGCTGCACGGTTTCGACAATGACCTTTTGGCATTCAATCATAGCCTGCGCCTCCCCGGAAGCAAACATGCGGTTGAGTTTACTGCTCTCTTCTTCCAACTTGGCTTTGAGTTGCTGGATTTCCTTGGAGTTGTCTACGGCGGGGGCTCCGGCCTCCTCTTCCTCGCTGTCATCCTCCTCCTCATCGTCACTGGCGTTGGAGGCGGACGCAGCGGGTGCGTTGGCCTTTGCGTATCTGGCCAGCCATGCATCCTTGCCCTTCATCTGCTGGCTGTAGAGATCTTCAAGCTGCTTGGCCACCATGGATACGGGGTTGCCCTGCTCAGGAGGTCCGTTGAACTGGTAGCAGTTGGTAAAGACGAGGCGCACGTTCTTATCAAACTCCTTGGCGTTGGCAATCTCGCCCGCGTTCAGCATGCGCGACACCTTGCCCAGGTCCATAGGCTTCTTGATGATGGCGTAGTAGTCGGGGATGTTGAGGCCTTCAGCATCGACGGCATCGAGGAACCACATGTTGAGTGTCGAGTTCTTGGGGTGCATGAGCTCCGCCAGTGCCTCGTCGCAGAATTGCAATTCGGGCTTGAGTTTCTTGCGAGAAGGCTTAGTGGTATAATCGATATCCTTGGGCTTCGGTGCCCTTACCGTCCGTTTTGGTCTATCTCCGTCTGTGGCTGTTGAGCCGCGACGATCCGCAATAGGCTCTGGGGCCTGCGGCTTGGGCTTTGGTGCAGCCACGGGGGGTGGCGGGCTGGATGCAGGCCCGGAGGATTGTCTTCGCGCGGCATTGTCGGGTCCGCCTGGTAGGACGCGAGGCTCGCGAGGAGGCTTGGGCTTGGCTACAGATTTGGGTCGCGCAGGCTCGTCGTCGGGGATGGTAACGGCCTCTTGCCACACATTACGTACTGCGTAGAATGCTGCATCTGTGACATCGTGTAAGGCGCCGTTGAAGGTCAGGGTGTTTTCAAAGATGAGCTGCAGGTCCTTTTGCATGTCACCAAACGTAGTGTAAGTGCTACTGGTGTCGCGGATGCGTCGGTCAATCTCAGCCAGATCCATGGGATTCTCGATCCTTGCCAAGTAAGACTCTCCCAGTGCCGGCCACAGCTTCGGAACGGAATCCCGGAAGTGGCCACCATGCTTGGTCTTCTTTACCCTGCCGATAATCTTTCGAATTTCGCGACGCTGGAAGTTTGAGATTTTCTTGTCGCGAAGCCCCGAGTCACTCCACTTTTGTAGAGAAGCTAGACGTCCCAGGCCACGATCGCCGGCGGGTACGGGAGTACCGGCGTTGTCGCTTTTAGGTGTCGCCGTGATGGCTGCCCCTTCATCTTTTGGCTCCGTCTTTGCTCGCTTGGCAAGCGGCTCGTCATCCTCCTCCTCCTCTCGTTCCCGAGAAACTTTTAAGCCGAGAGCGTCGGTCATGGACACTTCGAAGGAGGCGTTAATAGGGGATTTGGAGTCAATGGCCAATTGAGAGATACCTGATGAACCGACATCAACATCTGATGAAGGCGGTGCCTCTTGCGCCTGTTCAACTTTGGGCTCGACGGGCTTGTCGGCGGGCTTCTCGGTAGGCTTCTCGGCAGGCTTATCATCGGTCATGATGGTGTCGGCATCGGCGTCGGCGTCAGCGTCGGCGTCGGCGTCCATGTCTGCGCCAGAATCGGCAGCAGCTGGAGGTTTAGAATCATCAGAAGCCTTCTTCTCAGTGGCTGCCTCGGGCGCAGATTCCTTGGGGCTCGTAGGCGCAACAGTCTCTTCATTGGCATCTGTCATTTGCACATCAGAATTTTCTTGCGTTGACTCAACCTTTGGCTCTTCATTTTGCGCCGCTGGTTCTTCAGAGGCCTTCTTTTCGGGGGTCTTTTCGGGCGCCTTTTCGGGCGCCTTTTCTTCCTCGTTGGCACTGTCAGCTGGTTTATCCTGGCTAGCTTCGGGCTTTGCAGCTGCCGCAGGCGTTTCGTCGCGTGGCGCGTCCTTGTTCTCTAGCTTGTCGCCCTCTCCATTGACAGCAGCCACGCCATTAGGAGTGGCGGCATCAGCGGGTGACGATTTGCCATTGACAAGAGCCTCGTCAGGCTTATCCGATGAGGGCTTGTTCTCAGTTTCGGGTTTCGGCTCAGTTTCGGATTCGGTTTGGGCTTCCTTGGTTGGCTCCGAGGCAGCTGGTGCATGGCTAGACAAAAACAAACAACACCCAAGTCAGCACTGCAAGCGCATCATGATGCGAGAGGTAATGACTGAAATCAGCCCGAGAGCACTGCGACAGTAAACTCCCAGCGCGAAACTGCACTCACCCGTTGACATCAGCAGTCTTTTCCTTGTCGGGCAAGGACGGCGAGTCGCGCGCCGCAGGGTCCACGGTCGGTGTATCCGTTGTCGGCGACGCCATGGTTGCGGTTGGCGATACAGGAGGCTGTAGAAGAAAGCGTGCGCCGAAGAGTCTGGTGAATGATCCGAAAGATGGTATTTAGCAGAGATGACGCGACATCAAACTCGGCAAGGGCGAGCGCCCTGCGAAATCTAGCAGAATCGAGAGCGACAATGGAAGCGCAAAGCTTCGAGGTTGCGACAAGCGCAGCGGGTTGAGTCGAGCGCTGTTTCTAGTGATGATTAAAGGGTATGCAGGAAGAAGAGGGTTGAGAGAAGAAGAATAGAGCGCGGAGTGGTGGAGAGGGAAGCGTGGAGATGATGCGCCCACAAAGACAGCAAAAGCTATTCAAAGGTGGGAGGCGCGGCTGCAGCACAGACTCGAGCGGCGTTCAATGGAGGTGCGGGATGCGCGCGCAAGGCGGAAGCTTCAGTGCAGCGCAAGCAGCTTCCCGAGTGACGGGCAAGTGACAATGCACAATGCAGAGCAGCAGCGCAAGATGCGATGCGATGCGATGCGATGCGATGCAGCGGGAGATGCAGCTGGCGATGGCGCTGGAGAACGCGGCTAGTGACGAAAGCGGGCGGAATGCCTTTCGTCACGATGGCAAGGAAGAAGCTCCCCCAAAAAAAAGGTGGGCGGAATATTTTTTGGAGAGAGAGAATGCGAAAGGGCGATGGTTGGTCGGAAACCGGAACAAGTACCGTGGACAGCTCGCGACGGGCTAAAGGTCGGCAAAGGCAGAGGCGCGCGCTGTGGTTGGCTGGAGGAGGCGGGATGCGAGGCGGGCGATGCGGCAGGTACTTGCAGGAGCAGGATTATCGATTTTCCAGGCGACGAGGGGGAGGGGAGGGCCTTTGCGAGGAAGAGCGCGTGCACGTCAGTGAGATTTGGCCGGTCGGAGGCGCGGTGGTATTTATGAGAGAGGAAGGCCGGCGGCGCGACGGGCTTGATTTGCAGCTACCGAGGCGCCGGGTGGATTATTGCGTAAACGCGGCAATTGCTATAGACCATTCTGTGGCTGGTGGCTGGGCTTGTCGCGGCGGTGATTGGCTGATGCGCGGGGCCAAGGGAAATGCGCCACGCCGAGTCTAGCTGGGGCCACATTGCGGCGCTCGCAGCCCTCTTAGAGAAACAAAGGAACACCATGACAAGAAAAACGAGGGCTACCGTTTGTTATCGCGACTGGGACGGACGAGCCAGACCGCATTAGAGCTGACCGCGTTTTTCTTTGCCCATGTCCTTGCTTCCAGCTTCCTTTCTTTTTTCGGTTTACTTGTAGGCCTAGTCGTTGTACAGATACGCGTGCTTGTGCTGCATGCCCAACTGACTAATACCTACAGCGGCGGTAAGAAAATGTTGGTGGCTGCCTGCATCTTGTAAAGACCCGGTGGTGGCACGTCGTATAACTCGACTGCAGCAAGAATACCGCGATCGGTTCACAGACGCAGAATGGAGACGATCCATTGGGCCTCGCTGGTGGGTTCGCCTGCAATAGGAGGCTTGTCGTGTCTGAGATCCCCCACTCCCTTCCACCCAACCCGTGTTTTTTTTCCCTACCCGGTAATAACAGAGCGTTGATTGTGTTTCAAAAGATGCAAGATGGAGTTGTGAATAAGAAGAGTAAGTAGTATGCATCCATTGCAACGCTCAGCATATCAAAGATACCATCACCAGAGCTTTTGTGACATTAAAGCGGAAAGTTCAATTCCAGAATCATGTCGGCTGCATCTACCTACAGAAAAGATCTATGGCGAGTTTGGATGACATCGTGATCCACGCGCCGCTGATAACAATCAGCGCAAGCCAAAAAAGCTGGAGACGCGCCAGAGAAAATTCCTTTATCGAGTCTGCACCCCGTTCATATGCAATAAGCCTGAATTCTACGCTCAGCCCAGACAAGAACAAGAAGGAAAAAAACTTACCGCTGTGGCGGGTGCAGAGCTACGGCGCCACTTCTAAGCCTAACTAGGCGATCCACCCAAATGCAAACAGCGCAAGTTAGATGGCTCTTGGCCTTGTCCATTGGGGAAAAGAAACAGCCAGCCAATAAACAGCCACAGGTGGGGGCTCAAATCTCAGAGTCTGGTTAGCAAGGTTAGGCACAAGCAACAACCTTAGGTTCTGTTCCAGGGATCGCGCCGCCAGCCAATCGATAGCTCCAGCATTTTGCTACGCCGTGCCTGAGTGGGCCGGGAAAATCTCGGCGACGCGGCAGACGCTCCAAGAGCACGTGCGCAAAAGACTGTGATATCTATCTGACATGTCACGTGCATATCGATAAGAAAAATGTCTTATGTCATCTATCTTTTCTTCAGAGCCCATGCAAGCTGTGGGGAAAATCGAAACAATCACGCTAGACTCGGCCAGTCCAAAAAAAAAAAAGTTCACTTGGACTACGACTGAGCAGCGACCCGTGAAATTTTCCCATCTGCTCAAGAAAGATAAGATAACCACATCTTTTCTTCACATTCCTTTTCTCTTCTCTTCCCCCCCTCAAAGACCACAAATAACCCGTAGTCGGGCTCTCTTTCTGTCACCTTTCAGCGGACAGAAGAGAGGATCACCAAAATCACAGCCTATGGTGCAAGGCTTCTCACTTCCCAATCTCTACGACGTCGCCAGTCAGAACCTTTCGTTTCTCCTCCCGATGTCGACCCCAAAGAGAAAGGCGGCGGCCAAGCTGGCGACCCCGGTCGTCAAGCCCGACGCCAGGAGAGCAACCAAGAACACAATTGACGAGTCCCGAACGACAGTCGCTGGCACCGACGCCCTGCAGAGCTCGCCGGCCGATCCCATCGAGATCTCGGATGATGCTGACAGCGACGAGGACCTCTCCGACATGGACGAGGACGTGAACGAGGAGGCTGAGGCTGGCAAGGGCGCGGAGTCACAGTCTTTGGCCAATGGCCAGCAGAACCCTAAAAAAGACGACGCAGAGGATGGCGAGTCTGATGCCGAAGGCACATCTCCCTCCTTTGGCGAGCTGCTGCGCGGCAACGAAATCATCGACGTCAATGCCCTGCTCCAGCAGTCTGCCGCAGACAGCATTGCCGCCGTCGATTCGTCGCGAAGCGCCATTGCCCCTCCCACCCACAACTCCCTCACCACCGTCCTCACCCAGGCCCTGAAAAGCGACGACACAGACCTCCTCGAGTCATGCCTGCACACGACGGACATCCCCACCATCCAAAACACAATCGAGCGCATCGACAGCTCCCTGGCCGGCGTGCTGCTCAACAAGCTCGCCGCCCGCCTGCACAGACGGCCTGGCCGCGCCGGAACCCTCATGACCTGGGTGCAGTGGACGCTGGTTGCCCACGGTGGAGCCCTGGCCGCGCAGCCCAAGCTCCTCAACGACCTCAACAGCCTGCAAAAGGTGCTCGCCGAGAGAGCAAAGGGCCTCAACAGCCTGCTCGCCCTCAAGGGCAAGCTGGACATTCTTGAGGGCCAGATGGAGCTGCGAAGGAAGATGCAGCGAAGCGCCGGTCTCCTCCAGGACGGCGAGGACGATGCCGATGACGAGGACGTCATCTACGTGGAGGGCGAAGAGAAGGATGCTGAAGTCGCCGCCAATGGCACTCGCTCCCGGAGAAGAGGCGGTGCCTCCAAGGCTGCCCGCGACGAGGACGAGGATGAGGACGACGACGACCGCGTGCTGAACGGCTTCATTGGCGACTCTGAAGACGAGGAGGAAGGTTCCGAGCAGGGCGAAGATGAGAGCGACGCCGGCGAGGAGCCCCTGGACGAGGACGAAGTGGACTTTGACGACGTTGATGAGTCCATGGGTGAGGATGACGAGAGCGACGTGGAGGTTGCGCCGCCGACAAAGGTGCAAAAAGTGACACGGTCATTTGGCAAGAAGAAATAAGAGAGAAATAAGGCATCTGTGTGTATGTATGTATGTATGTGCTGCATGTAAAGAGAAAAATCGGAGAAGGGCAAAGGGAAAAAAAAGAAGTGCTGCAAAAGGGAGGCATATAGCATGATTAGGTCTTCACAGTATTGGGCGTTTGGATCTTTTTTTACTTTTTTAATATGTTTGTCAAAAAGAGTAGATATGATTAATGGTCATCTTCTTGTTTCTCTCTTGATCTCGGGGGTTTATCCATGTGGAAATGAGCTTAAGATGAGCATTTATATACTGCAGAGACAAGGGAACAGAGATCGTCAAGTGTACATCGCGCAGTGTCACCAAGAGATTGTACAGAACAAGCACATCAATATACAAGGAAAATCATTCATCATTTGCTACCCAATATGAAATCTTACACTGCTAGTAAAAGGAAAAAAGTTTAGAACCATATTTCTCGTACAAGTTAATCTTATAAAAATTCATCATCTCTCCTTTTTTATTTTGTCAAGAAAAGAAATAATCGAAAATCAGTTCCATCGCTCAAAAAGCTCAAGTCATTTGCTCGCTCGCTCGCTCTCATTCCCTCTACACAAGTCTTTTGTTCGCCATACGTAAACTACTATAGTAATAATAAGAAAAAGACATAAAGTTGCTGACATTCCTCCTTATTTTCTCAGGAGCAGCTACAGATAAAAAAGAAAAAGAAAAGCCTATGTACGCCAATCCGCCCACCGCCATGCAAAAAATAAATATATAAGGAACGTAGACAATTGCGAGCCGAAAGGGAAAGAAAAAAAAAACAGCAAAGAATCTCGTGTATCCATGGCCATAGAAAAAATAAGGGGGGGTAAGCCATTAAAAATGTCGTATGATGGTGGCGCAATTGATAAGTAGCAGCTTGCTGTATTCGCCCAAAAAGACTGCTGTCGCAGCGTAGTATGTCAAAAAGCACGCCAAAAGTAAGAAAAAAGTGTTTCTTTCGCTCGCTCGTCTTGGGAAAAGCCACATTGCAAAAGCGCTAATGAAACAAACTTGGCAATGAGACGAAAAGGCAGAATCATGCGCAGAAACCCCACGGCAGTGCAATAAAGCCGCCTAGATGGCCCAACTGCCTCTTCTCTCGCGCACGCCCCAGGCCAATGGGTCGAGGTTGTCCAGATCTGGGTGCTGTCTCGCCCATTCCGTAATGTAGGACCGTAGCGCCACCCATCGCGGGCATCTCTCCTCCTCAGGGGCGGACTCGTCCACCGTCACCTCCACCATGTGGCCCTTGGCCATTTGCTTTGCGTCGTCCCTCTGTAGCTGCTCGATGCTGATGTGGCTGATTCGAGAGAGCTCTTCGTCAAAGCCGCGCGCCATGGCGGGATAGCCGAGCGACAGGTAGTTGTACACTTGGGTAACAAAGCCCCCGTCAAAGTCTTGCAAAATCTTTTCGTCGCGCTCGACATTGGCCTTTTCTCTCTGGAGTCGCTCCTTGAGACCGCTCAGCTCTTTAGCAGCACCGTCAGCACCGTTAGGGTGTTGGTGAGCTGCGCCGCCCCAGAGGCCGCCGCTATGGCTCGAGGTGAGTCCAGTCGACGCATACCCAGAGGGTGAGAAGATTGACACGGGCTCTTCGCTGAGGACACCGGCGTCGACGACATCATGGCCGGGAAAGGTTGCGGTAATGGGTGTCTCAATCATCTTGGGGTTGTGCAGCTCGGGGGGCACAATGAAGCCTCCGGTTGATTCCGACCTGCAGCAATACCCCCTCCAGAGCCCGGCCTGGCCCGACAGGTCCCGCGCTTGGTCCTCAATCATGTGCGCCTCAAGGGGGTCTTCGGGCTCGAGCGTGGTGAACTTGGGAGAGGGGCATCGTCGAAAGACGAGGTCCTTGCCGAGCATGGGAGGGGAGGGGCCCTGGCGCAACTTAAGGAGCTTCGGGTCATGATCGGGCGGAAGTCGGAAAGCGCCAAACGGCCTGCCGAAGGGACTGGGACTGGGTTCCTGGCGGCCGGCGACCTGCTGAGACACGGGCGGGTGGGGCTCGCCCGGCGCGCCTTGGCCATGGGCTGGAGGAACCGCCTGCGCGGAAGCGGTTTGGGCATGGCGATTGGCCTCTGCCAACGCCATCTGCATCTCAGCCGCCGACTCTCGCCGGTCGTCGGTGGGCGAGAGGGGCTTGGTGGTTGTCCACATGAGATCGGGAGGGGACGGCAGTTCCATCTTGTCCAGATCAGAGTCAGACCGGATGATGGGGCTGTCTGCCGTGTCAGGAGCAGCAGCAGCAGCAGCCTCCTTGCCCTTATCCTTCTCCTCGTCCTCCATAATCACAGCCTCCTCATTGTCCACATCCATCCGATCTCCTCTCTCCTGCTCCAGGCGCAGCGCATGCTCCTGCATATGCTTGTGCCACCAGTTCAGCCCCAGGTTCGACGATTTACGCCTAAGCCTGTACTGGCCGGCCTCTTCATCCGGAGGAGAGGCTTCGGGAGACGTCTCGCTGTCAGATGAGCCCTCCCGAAAGTAGAAATGGGCCACGCCACCTTCGCGGGGGCGGCTGTTGGGGAAAGCTGCCAGGGCAACCTCTTCGATCTGCCGCGCGACTTCTTTTGCTGCCAGCTCCAAGAGATATTCCTGGACGCCCTCCTCCTCAGTCTCCCGCCGGGTGGGCGGTGATGGGCGTTTTTGGACATGGCGGGGGACTTCTTCCTCGCCACCAGCGTGTCCATGTTGTCTTCGATTTGATTTTGCTTTCGCAGAGTAAATGTGGTTTGTGTAGGGTGTAATGTCTGTCTTGTCCGCCGGCTTGGTGGCAGGCCCCTGTTCGCCAACTCTTCTTGATCGTCTGGAGGTTTCAATGAGCTGAGGAGCAAAGCGCCGCCTCTCATGCGGCTCGTCATTGTCCTGCGCCGCTCCGAGGGAGAATTGCGCCTCGGGAGATCGCGGCGACGGTTCCGGAGTCAGCTCTGGATTGGGTCCTATCCTGTGCTGCGACGTGTAGTCGTAGACGTTCTTACGATAAGACTGGAACGACGTCTCGATCGGAACAGGGACAAAGCACCGCCGCGGCGGATCCGGGTTGGACATGTTAACGTCCATGGCTGCTGCAGGTGGGCGGGCGATCTGCGCTGGCGGGGGAGGATTTGAGTGAATAACCAGTTGACAGATGACCGGCTATGAAGGGTATAAGGCGTTGGGATGGGTGGGATCAGGTTTAGGAGCCTTGCTGCTGGAAGGTCCAAGAGGAGAGAAGAGCGACGTTAGCAGGAGGACATGCCCTCGGGGTCGCTTTTGTCGGTCGAGGCGGTATAGAACGTGGTCGCACGGGTCGCCTCCGTGCCTCTGTGGTATCGTACAAGTATGTGTACCAGGTATAAGCAGCACGAGCAAGCATGCACAAGGCTGGTATGTATGCTTTGTTGGCGGGGCAGAGACGCTCTCTATGGCCCTCGTCCGCCTCTTGGTGCGTGTAGGTAGGTATTGGTTGAGGTACTCGTACCGTACGTAAGGAGTATCAACACTCCGGTACTTGTATGTTCTTCGCGCTTCTAGACGTTCCGCTCGAGCAGGGATGGCGATGCAGATGCAGATGCTCGGCCCAGGGCCTTTTGCTTTCTTGGGGACTTTGCCGGGAGGAGTTCGTGCCTTGCTGAGCGGCAAAGACTGACTGACGGCCGAATGGAGCGCTATGTGCCTGTTCGCCGCCCTCTAACCTGTCGACCCGAGCAAGTCAGAGGAGGCGATGCGGGGACGCTGCGGATAGCATGGAGTTGGTGGTGCGGCGCCGCAGTCACCGGCGCTCACGATTTTTGATTTGATGGCTGGAGAGTTGGAGATGGAGATGGTCGGGGCGGTGGACGGGCCAAGTGCCCGCACAGTAGGCTGTTAGGTAATGGGCGGGCAGCGCACGGTCTCAGGTGACAGACGCCGTAGGGGAGAGGGCGTTAGGGGATGCGTTAGGGGATGCGTTAGGGACCCGTAGCTGGGGTTTGGAGGCCGGTTAGGGGGGCTAGCATCGGTAGTTTAGGCGCTGTGCTCCCCCTGAGTTGGCGGGAACGTGGGCGGGCACCATTGGACAATGTGCGCCAACTTGACAGATTGACGCTGTGTTCGATATTGTTCAATCCCGGTCGCCTCAACAAGCGAGCAGTCGGTGATATTGGACGTGTAATTAATTCAATTATAGAAACTCGCAAAGGCTAATTAGCAATTCCCACGTAAGAAAACTCTAAACAGGCCAAATGCATGCGCACGTGCAGCGAGCCACTCATCCGCTTCCCGCGTAAGATTCGACCATCTCAGTAAAGTCGTCCAGGGCCACAGTCTGTGCCCTATCATTCTGGCACGGTGCCTGTACCTGAACGGAGCATCGAGCCTAGCAAAAATCTCCAATCCAATGCCCCTCTTTCTCTTTGCGTGCTCGTGCCTCGTCCTCACCGGTTTTTACGCCCCTCGGATCCTTGCGCCATGGGTGATCATGAGGAGGCTAGTCCGTCGAGAAAATCTCTTCCCCCGCATGGCTACAGACGGGCCACCACGTTGTTTGCTGCACCTGTTAGGTAATGCCGGCGTGAGCTGACAGCGACGGGGCATCGTGAGTAAGCTTCAGTATAAGCCGAGGCCTCTGGATGCATCACCATTTCGTACATTGGCATTGTTATTAGCACATCGATACCTGCTTCAGTACTTTCTTTGGTCGATGTCGTGCTTTACATCAAACCAAAAACAAGATAATACCGCAATCAGCCGCCAATACCGCCTCCCTTGACTCCGCACACAGACACAGATACAGACGATAAGAATCTCGTTATCAAAACCACAATCGCCTCCTCGCGTTCTAGAAGGGCTCACTCAACCCTCCCTCGCCAGGCCCCTTGTTTGCGCCGCTCCAAAAAGTGCTGGGGCTCACGGACTCTATCCGGCCTTCACGCCCGCCCTTTTTCACGATACTTCACCGACACTTTGCCTTCTTTCTTTGTCTTCGTGACAACACTCTTGACTTGTACTGTATTCCTCTTCTTCTCTCTTGTTTA